AGGTTTCTGGGGTTTGTTTAGCTTCTATAATTGCAACATTGTTTCTTAGAGTGCAGCTCAGAGGCCAGCAGTAGCAGGCGGGGAACCTTGGCTTCCTCCTTCACTGGAGCAAGCAAGCCTCCTGTTCACATCAGCTGCCTGGCTGCCGGCTGCCATCTTGGTTGGCAGTTAATTTGCATATCACCCTGATTAGCCAATGGGAAGCGTGTCAGAAATATGGTTAATTACCAAGTTTGTCTATTATTAGATAGGATAGATTGCAAGTGTGTGTCATATATACTGCACATCAGTCAGTCGTGTGGCTGGATGTATGTACAGTCAGTCACTTAACCTTTTATATGAAATTCGTGCACTGGTAAGGGATCCCTCAGCTTGGCCTACACCCTCTTGGATCTGGCCTAAGCCAGCAGTGAGATCCTTCTCACAGTCAGGGGCTCTCAGAGCCTGGGACTCCTCTCTCCTAACCACACAACTGCAGCAGAAGCGGGAGAGGCATTCACCACCACTGCTGCGCTCACCAGCCCCAGCAGTGAGCCTGGCCAAGCAGTGCTCCCCCTGTGGGAGCAAACAAATGACCACAGGGGACCTCTTGCATTGAGCGTCTGCCCCCTGGTGGTCAGTGCACATCATATAGACCAGTCATCCCATCAGTCATTCCGCCATTCAGTCGATTTGCTTATTAGGGTTTTATTATATAGGATATTAGTTTCAGGTGTAAAATATATAAATTTTGTTTTCAGCTTTTGGTACACAGAGCAGAGTACCATACACCTTGTGCTAGAAACTCACCTGAAGAATTGTGAACTAATAAATTTTGTGTTTTTGTAAACTGCTAATAAGCACATGTTAATTTGTTTGGCCCTAATAGAAATAAAGAGCTAATCTTTCAGGAAAAGGATGAATTGTAGACTACAGATTTGTTATCACATGAATCCAAACTTCTTTAACAGTGGAGAACACATGAACTATGGTTCAAAAAGGGGATGTCTAGGCATCAATCTAGAAGAACAGGAATTAGGAAGGATCTATGGTAAGACATATTTACCAAGAGCTTCTTTTGGAACACCTGGTTGTCATCCTTGAAGGAGTGCTCCATGAAGATTGCAATCGCTTCCTTCTTACAGGCTTTGTGCAGGTCCAGCAGCTCTTTCAGCGTGTCTGTGGGGAAGCTCACTCTCTGGGCCATCTTCTCTCTGTAGTTGTCGGCTGCCTGCTGCATGGCTGCTGAGTTCTCACGTTCAGCCAGAGTTGTCACTGCATTTTCCAAGCAAGGTACTGCTCCACTGTTGATGGCATCTACATAGGCCTTTGCAAGAGACCCCAGCCCTGAATGACATATGATATTTAGGGAATGGACAGGAAGTTCTTTCTCACTGTTTCACAAGTTTTAGAGGTCAGCATTCTAAAAATCACAAAAAGTTTATTGAAATGAAGTTTTGTTTTCTCTGTCTTTTTTTCCTCCCCATCTTCCTCCTTGTCCTCATTCTTGTCCCCTCATCCTTTAATTTTATAAATCTACTTCCTTATAATAACATCATGGTGTCTCCTATTCACTCTCTCTTTTATGGTTCTGAAATTGAAGGCATGATAATATAAACTTAATTATTTCAACCAATGTGTTCAGGGGTTTCCTGTAACCATTTTCCAATTGAAATAACATTAAAGAGAGTTTATTTTACAGGTAGGTAATGTAGATAATTTGTGGGCAAAAATTTTCAATGAAAATTTGAGACCCAATAAAAAAATCATCATGAATTTCAGGATTGTGACTCAAATATTAAATCATGCAAGAGCCCATCTCAGCCCCGGTCACTATATGTCTGCCCAGGTGGTATGTCCATGAATCTAGCCCTGCACATAAGGCTATAATTAAAATGTCTTCTCAAACTCTAATTAGCTTTCAAAGATTTATATTCTGTTATATATGTCATCCAAACTGGTGTAAACTTATGAGATATCTTGTGTATCTTCATCAAGACACACTCATCTCATTGGTCCTATCCTCATGCACATTCCTCTCTTTAACAGCAGCTTGTACTTATGTCATTAGTGTATTAGTCTCATGAGGTACAATAGGCTTCAATAATTCTCCAAATAGGGAAACTTCAGTGGAAAAAAATACATGTGTATGTGTGACATCAATCTCTGCTTTTCCACATCACATAGAGAAGGAAACAAAACTGCTGAAAAACTCTCAGTACAATCACACACATTGAACTGCAGAGAAACATGCTGTAACAAAGGAGACTCACGCTTTCCAGTGACAATGATTCCCTCTCCGAGGGTCTTGGTTTTTGCTTCTGTGAAGATATAGTTACAGAAATTTTTGGATTGCTCCTGGAAACTGCACTCTAGTTGGTTTTCTGACACCTCTTCCATATGGAGTAATAACTTTTTGTCATTTGTAGGCCGGTCGAAGGTAAAGCACTTTTGCTTTGGAAAGAACTTCCTGATACACTCTCTAGGCATGTTGGACTTCTGAATTTGGGGATCCTCGCCTGTAGAGAAGAAAAAAGAGCAGTGATTGGTGAGACAGTCTTTAGGCAAGGACATTGATGATTTTCATTTCAAAGGGTCTCTGCATCACTGCTACTTTGGTGTTTGCATACCTCCATTTATTTACTCATGAAAATCAATCTAATGCTAATCTCATAAAACTTAGAATTTTTTTTATTTTGTTTTCCAGATCCAAGAATAAAAGCAGTACTTCTGAGAAAGAAGAGGAGGTATTCATTCCATGTGAAGGAACTTATGATTTTCCCCTGGTGTCCAATGCTTAAATATTCATTAGATATTTTTGAGTGATAGATTAATACCCAAAATTGTCAAAAATACTTTTGATATTATAGTCCTAATGTCAGAAATATAATATAGGCTCTAAAATAAAGACAAATGTTTCTTGGTAGATATATGAAAATTTATGATATTGTTAGAAAAAATACCTTGTGGAGGAAAGACAATTCATGTGATTTTAGACCCCAGTAAATCAAATCTGGAGGTCAGAGATTGCCATATAGAATTTATATTATAGTCCACTGGTCAGAAATATAATGTGAGTTCTAAAGTAAGAATCAAATGTTACACCTCCACCACCCAGACCATTCTCTGATACCTGGAACCAACTTCAAGGCATTCTGCAGGTACTCATCTTCAGTGATAGTACATCCATCTAACTTCAGCTCCAACATGAAATCCCGTACAACCCAAACAAAGTCTGGAAAGAAACTCCTAAATTCGGCTGAGTCATCTACTTCACCAGAGCAAGGAGAGGACTTTGTCCTGATTAGCTTGCTTAGTTCAGTCACATAGCTGGGATCTTAGCTAAGGAATGAGAAGTGCTCCCCACCAAAATTTCCAGATCTCACACAGAAATAATTGTTATGAACATTCCTATTCACCCTCTTTCCATTTTTCTCCTCAAAAGTCATTATGA